CAAAAATGGATCAAAATTTAAATATTACTCATTAAATATTTTAGAGTAAACTATATGTATAAAAAGAAATTTTTTTTATAAAAATTAATGCATCTTTTATATCCCATACTATTTGACCAGTAGCTGCTTGAGTTGTATGTATATAGGAAACATTTATTCAGTCAGAAAATCACAATATAAGGAATCCAAGAGAATGCAGGGTCATCACAAAGGCACAACTAGATAAAACAACTACAATTCACCTTTTAAAAAGTGAGTTTACTATATATTCAAATTTGTGTTCTTCCAGGAAGTGGTGATACTATAGTCAAATTTGTTTTATGCAATATATTTCAATAATTGAGGACTACATAAAGAGAAAAGTTATCACTATTTGTAAATAAAGACAATATGAATAAAGACAAAGAAACATAACAAGTTTGCTCAATTTATGTCTCAATAAAGAAAACGGTATCCAACTGTAGTAAATAATGACAGTACATTTGCAATTTTTCATGCTGAAGTGCAGCGCTGAATGATTATTAGAGTCTGAAAGGACAAAGGATGGTGCATTACATAATACTCTAAAAAGATAGAAAGCAGATTGGAATAAAAGAGCAGCAGGACATATTCAAGGTCCCATTCATGCTGTGGCTTCCTATAATGTCTTGGCCAAAACTCTTGCTAGAGTTCAGGCTTTCAAGATCACTTATCCTGTATTAATGAGGAGGTAAGTAATGATAACTTAGACATTCCTATCTGTACCCTCACCCAGTGTGTTGTCCTTGGAATTTGACATAGTACCTCTTCTCCCTTTATTGAGTCAGACGTTCACTTTCTGAATATGAACACATCAACAGTGTATGCAACAAGGTCTCAGTTATTGACTTCCAATGGGACCTGGGATACATTTGCTGCATGGCACCTTGGGAACTACAGTATGATCTTCCCGTTCAGGCAAATTCCAGACGTCTTTAGTGCTACCAAGTTCCTGATATTCAATGTGGTATTCTTTTTCAGTGTATGAATTACCTTCCATCTGTCTACTACAGCACCAACAGGAAAGGTACATTAGCCATGGAATCTTTCTCTATATTGGCTTCCAGGACAGGGTTCCTTGACTGATTTTCACCCCCAAGTACTATATTATTCTGTTCTGATTAGGTCAAAACTAGTTTTCATTGCACCAGTGATAAACTACAACCTAGAAAGATAAATTTGTCTGAAATCATAGATCACTTTTTAAAATTGAATAGAAGTCTTAAAGCCAGTCATACAGCATTGCCAAAGTCACCAAAGGTCATAATTCGGGAAATGGATTATTTTATTACAGACAATTTGTATTGAAATAAAATCATTTTTAATGTTTTGAAATAAAGTTGGATTGATAAGTTCTTGGTTTGTGCCACTGTTATTTTTACTGCTATTGAAGTAACATGTTTTTTTTTTTT